AGGTGGCATGGGCGCCTGAGCTGGTACTCAGGGGAGCAAGCTCCATGTGGCTCAGGAGCCCCGCTCGGCTCCGTCTACATGACGGTGCTGTTGGTCTGCAGGCTCCGGCCCGTGAAGGAGATGGCCCAGTCGCACGAGTACCTGAGCATCGAGTACTCTGAGGAGGAAGTGTGGCTCACGTGGACCGACAAGAACAACGAGCACCATGAGAAGAGCGTGAGGCAGCTGGCGCAGGAGGCGCGGGCCGGCAACGCCCACGACGAGAACGTGCTTAGTTACTACAGGTGCCCTGGCCCCTCCTCTGTCCTGCACCCGTGGGCGATGGCTGTGGGGGGTGGTGGGGTTCTCCTGCCTCCACAGCAGTGTCCTCACTGCTCACTACCCTCACGCCCCTGCCCTGCACACAACCTTCCTCCCAGGACGGTGACAGAAGGACCGCTGTCTTCTTGAGTAGCCCTGGGTGGCCTCGAGGCCAGGCTTGGCACAGCGGCCAGGCTTCAGGGAAACCACATCTGTCTCCAACATATGCACTTCATTATTATTATTTATAATTTTTTGTGTAGTTGTGGATGGACAGCATGCCTTTATTTTATTTGTGCTGAGGATCAAACCCAGTGCCTCACGTGCATGCTAGGCAAGCGCTCTACCACTGAGCTACAGCCCCAGCCCATGTACTTCATTATTTTTTAAAAATATTTTTAGTTGTATCAATTCTTTTATTTATTTTATCGAACCCAGTGCTTCACACATGCTAGGCAGTTGCTCTACCACTGAGCCACATCCCCAGCCCACACATGTGGACTTTAAGTCATGGTGCTGGTGGCCCTCTGAGTGGCTGTTTGCAGCCCAGGCACTGTTCTGAGCACTTCCCTGAGCTCACATTTATGCCTCACAGCACAGGAAGTAGGTGCCGTCATTGTGCTCCGTGTGCAATGGGGAAATGAAAGAGCAGAGAGGTAAAGGAACTCTCCAGAGCTTACATAGCTGTTAAGTGGGGAGCCTTGGTTCACACCAGGCTGCTGCCTCCACAGGAGGCAGTGTGATCTCTGAGGAGGATGCAGAGGCCATGACCTCGCCCACTGCAGGGCAGAGCCAAGCCTCCTACAGTGCTGCCTGATCTCTCCCCAGCTGGTTCCTCCCACTGCACTTCCCCACCCTCTCCAGCCTTCCCCTCATCTTTCAGCCACTCACTTCCTGTAAGCACCTCTCCTGGCTGAGCCAGAAAGTCTTTTTCCTCCTTAGCCAAGAAGGAATTGCAATCCTCATCATCACAGATGGGGTTCCTTCCATCTTAAGTTGTGTCCTTTCTATACAGTGGCCAATGTCCCTTAGCCACTTTACGGAGTCCTCACCAAGTCCAAGTGCTAGCAGCCCCGGTCCCCGCTGTCCTCACCATCTTCCCTGTCCCTAGGTACCAGCTGAAGCTCTTTGCTCGCATGTGCCTGGACCGGCAGTACCTGGCCATTGACGAAATCTCCCAGCAGCTGGGTGTGGACCTGATCTTCCTGTGCATGGCTGATGAGATGCTGCCCTTCGACCTGCGCGCCTCCTTCTGTCATCTGATGCTGCACGTGCACGTGGACCGGGACCCCCAGGAGCTGGTCACGCCTGTCAAGTTTGCCCGCCTCTGGACCGAGATCCCCACAGCCATCACCATCAAGGAGTGAGAGAGAGTGGCTGGGGCAGACCAGGGCAGAGGCCGGGGTGGGCGGGTCAGGGATCCTGATGCCTCTGCCCCTCCACCCCCAGCTATGATTCCAACCTCAACGCTTCCCGGGACGACAAGAAGAACAAGTTCGCCAGCACCATGGAGTTCGTGGAGGACTACCTCAACAATGTGGTCAGCGAGGCTGTGCCCTTTGCCAACGAGGAGAAGAACAAGCTGACCTATGAGGTGGGCTGGGGGCGCCCAGGGTTGGGGGTTACAGGGGCTCTGGCTTGCATCCTCACTGGGTCTCAGTCTGACCCAGGGGTGGGTTGTAGAATCTTGGATCCCACTTTCCTCAGTGCCCCAGTAGATGGCTGGGACTCCCACAGCGGGAGCCTTCCGCTCTGATGCCTGGGGGGAGGGCTGCCTCTTCCTGGTCCACTCACCTCATCAGCTTAGGGTCTGCCTTTCTGGAGAACCCACCCTCCTGAGAACCCGACCCTCATTATAACCTTTTCCTGTCTTGACCACACCCTCCGTGAAACCACGCCTCTGCATGCATTGGCCCCGCCCACCCTCACCTCAGCCCCGCCCCTTCACAGGTGGTCAGCCTGGCGCACAATCTCATCTACTTCGGCTTCTATAGCTTCAGCGAGCTGCTGAGGCTCACACGCACGCTGCTCGGCATCATCGACTGTGTGCAGGGGCCGCCGGCCATGCTGCAGGCCTACGAGGACTCAGGCGGTGAGGCTTTGCCTGCGGGCCACCCGCTGCCCTTGGGTTCCTCAGCCCCCTCTGAGCGTGGGAAGTTCTCTCCAATCACCCTCAGCTGCCACCTGCTTCCTGTCTTTGCCAGGGGTGTCATAAACAGTGTGTGTGCTCTGCCTCTCCTGTCACATGGGGACCCTGCTGTGCACACCCTGTGACTCCCTCCTGGGCACGCTCTGTAACCCACAGGCAAGAATGTGCGGAGGTCCATTCAGGGCGTGGGACACATGATGTCCACCATGGTGCTGAGCCGGAAGCAGTCTGTCTTTGGCACTCCCAACCTGCCTGCTGGGGCTGGGGCCACTGAACCTCTGGACAGAAGCAAGTTTGAGGAGAATGAAGACATTGTGGTGATGGAGACCAAGCTGAAGATTCTGGAAATCCTGCAGGTGGCTGAGCCAAGACCATGGTGGGAGGTGTTGGGAATAGGGACAAATACAAGGAGATGCAGAGGAACCCTTTTGATCTCAGTATTTCATGCTGGAAGGTTCTACAGTGATTGCTGTCTAGCCTGGTGGTCCTCAGGGTTAGTCCCCTGGACCAGCAGCATCACCATCAGCAGGGGACTTACTAGAAGTGCACGTTCTTAGGCCCCACTCCAGACCTACTGAATCAGGGACACTGGAGGTGTGGCCATGGTCTATTGTGACAAGCCCTTCAGGCGACTCCAATGGGCCCTAAGTCTAGGTTAATCCTCCCATTTTACGGATGAGGAAAGTAAAGGGGAAGGCGACCTTCCCAAGGTCACAGGGATTTTGGAGCAGAGGTAGAGGTGGGAGAGCCCGTTTCTCTGTGAGGTAGATATGGTCATGCCTGTTCTGCGTTTTGCCTGAGATTCCCCAACCACCCCAGGGGAAGGGGCTTATGGGTTTCTGAGGTCTTGTGGCCCCCGGAGGACAGGAGGGTAATGCAGTCATCGGCATGGGGGACCGATTCTGGCCAGGATCTGATTGGGGGAGTCAGAGGAGGGGCTTCTGACTCATTCTGGAAGCTAGGGCTGTCTGCATCAGGGGTGTGGCCAGAGACTCTTCACCTTGGGGATAGAGTCCAGTCAGGTGAACCTTCAAATCTTGTCTTCATGCCTCAGTTTCTCCTCTGCTTGGCTGAGCAGGATGGGAGTGCAGGAGTTGGCCCTGGACCTGGGGAGCTTCATTCTCTTTCCCGTCAGTGTCCAGCTTGGCAGGAGGCCCTGGGTGGGCTGGTCGGGCACTCGCTGCCTCTTGCTGGGGAGGCACCAACTGTCTCACATGCCTGTGCACTTGGGCAAGAGCATCCCTGGGAGAGGGATCTTAATTTTTTTTGTTGTGACATCCGAGAAGCCCTGGAGTGCCAGTCAGGGTCACCCTCACCCCTCATGGAGCAGGCAGGCCTCCTGACCCCAGGCCGGCCCTCTCTCCGTCCTCTGCCTGTCTGCAGTTCATCCTCAACGTGCGCCTGGATTACCGCATCTCCTATCTGCTGTCGGTCTTCAAGAAGGAGTTCGTGGAGGTGTTTCCCATGCAGGACAGTGGCGCCGATGGCACAGCACCAGCCTTCGACTCCACCAGTGCGTACCTGGCTTCCGCCCCACCTGCAGGCAGTGGCCCAGGGACACACGGGGTAGCGCAGTGGACACCTGGGCAGCTTCCCTTCCCCGCCCTTTCCCAGCCTGAACAGGTGGTTCCTCTCCATTGTCCCATTTGATTGCCACATGAGGGGAAGGGCAGGGATCCTTCCCTATTCCTAGGTGGGGAAACCGAGGGCTGTGGGGGGCAGGATTTGCCTAAAGTCACAGTTGACCGGACTGAGCCCGGTCAGATCCCAGTCTCCTCACTCCCTGGGTGACGAGCTGCTGTGGTCCTCCCCTGCGTGATTTCCATCCCTGGAACTGCACCTGTGCCTGGGAAGGGGCAGGCGGGGAGCTGCCAGCCAGCCAGTGCAGCCAGGGGGTTCTGCTCCCCACCCCTGTGCCCTGTGCCCCACCTGCTCCTCTTACTCCCCTCAGCTGCCAACATGAACCTGGACCGCATTGGGGAGCAGGCGGAGGCCATGTTTGGAGTAGGGTGAGGCGAGGGTTGAGTGTGGGGCTGGGTGGGAGTCGGGTGGGTGATGAGGACTCAGGCCTGATGCCTGCTCCTGGGGCAGTCAGGGTTTCTGGGGCTGGGTGCTGGCTGCTCCCTCTTCCTTTGCAGACCCTCACCAGTGTGCACCCTCTGACCCTCCCCTGCCTGCCCAGCCCCAGCCATGTAGGGACCACCTGGGTCTCAGTCATCCTGGTCATCCCCCTGCCTCCAGTCAGGGCTGCTGTGCCTCTACTTGTGCATCAGGGATTGGGCCGGGTGACTGGCAAATGTCCTCCAGTCCCACAGCAGGGAGGGCCTCTGGGGGTTTTGCAGCCTGCCCCACCCCCATGCTGGTGGTCTGGGATGGGTCTGGACACGGGGAGCTCCTGCCATTTGTGAGCCCTGCCCTCCCTGAGGTCTAGTGTAGCCCACGGGCCCCTTCTCAGGACAGTGTTTTACATTCATGAAATAAAGCACATTAAATTACAAAGGAAACCTATGGCAGTTGAGAAGCAGTTATCAAAATATTGAAGCAAACCAAGTTGAAGTGACAGTTATATATGGGCCTCTTTATTAACACATTAAATAGCATGCTGCGCCGGTGGGTGTAATTAGCGCCGTCACTTCGAAGCAGTGGTGAATGTAAACAATATTTCACAATTTCTGTTAACAACTCTGAGGTGATGTGAAAACATCTGTTGATTTTCATTGGTGACAAACTCACGAAATACGGCTAGTATTTCCTCATGGAAGGAAGTGTTCCATTTTGGTTAGAGATTGATAAAAATCACTTTTCCCACTTCTGTTCCATCTAAGTCCTCCTAGGTGGGGTGGTGAGGTCTGTGGGTCCCATTAGAAGGGTTCCCTGCTTAATCCAGGGAGGGCCTGAGGGAGCCCAGGGGACACAGATCCCTCGAGGGTCAGGCCCGGGGCTGTTTGCACACAGGTGGGAAAAACATCAGTATCTTGAACAAATGTCACACTGGGTGCTGCCTCTGCTGAATGGGGGTAGAGAGCGTGCTTGTGCCAGGCCTGGGTCCCTCGGGAGGCAGGTGTGTGCCGGCACACTGACGCCCCGGCACCCTGGTGTCCGCAGGAAGACCAGCAGTATGCTGGAGGTGGACGACGAGGGTGGCCGCATGTTCCTGCGTGTGCTCATCCACCTGACCATGCACGACTACGCACCGTTGGTCTCGGGAGCCCTCCAGCTGCTCTTCAAGCACTTCAGCCAGCGACAGGAGGCCATGCACACCTTCAAGCAGGTGAGGGAGGATCCCCTGGTGCTGCCTGAACTGTGCCCTGGGCCGACCTGGGCAACTGGGGGTTCAGTGATTAAGGAGCTCACAGCTCAGGGGAACTTGGGGTGCACATTTGGGTTTCCAGCCTTGCTGAGCTCCTTCAACACAAAGACCGAGTTGTGGCCACCTTTGTCCCTCCCGGCCTGGCTCAGTGTCTGCCCCTTCTTATGCTGTGGGCAGCGCTTGACAGTGTGCAAACTCTATTGTGTGCCAACTCTATTACGCACATCAGTGCTGATGCTCTGAACCCTGCCTGGCTCGCAGGCAGCCCTAGCCAAGTGCCTGGTGTTTGTGACTGACGTCACGGCCCCTTGACAGCTCCCTGTGAGATACCTGTGCCAGGTGGGGTTGGTGGTTGACAAGTGCTCACTTGACGTCTCATTATGTCCTGGAATTCTCACAGTAGCCTAATAGTATGGCACCACTGTCATCCCTTTTTTCGAGGGGGGTGGAAGTCCAGGCTCAGGGAGTCTTTCATCCTGGCCTCCTGGCCCAGAGTGAGAGGGGCGGGAGTTAGACGCAGGCCCCCCTCTTTCAGCCAGTGATCATCGATACGTATACACTTTGCCCTGCCCGTGGAAGGTCTGGTGAGCTAATGATAGGCCACAGTAATAGTGACATGAGTCAGAGCAGCTGAAGCCAGGTGATGTGCCAGTGCAGGCAGAGTGCCCTTGGCTCCAGAGAAGGCTTCCTGGAGGTGGTGGGCTTTGGCAGGGTGGCAAACGGGAGTAGGATTTGGCTTGATGGAGAAGACCAGGTGGTGGTGGGTGGCACTGGGAGAGGCATCACTAGGTGGGTGACACGAGGGAAGGCCCTGGGGTTCTCCAGGTGGACCTGGAGGTGCCCATCCACCAGCCAAGACCATCCCCCACCTTCAGGTGCAGCTGCTGATCTCGGCCCAGGACGTGGAGAACTACAAGGTGATCAAATCAGAGCTGGATCGGCTGCGGACGATGGTGGAGAAATCGGAGCTGTGGGTGGACAAGAAAGGCAGTGGCAAGGGCGAGGAGGGGGAGGCAGGCACCGCCAAGGACAAGAAGGAGGTGAGCCTGGTGGCGGGAAGCTGGGGCGGGGAGCCAGGGAGAGCCGGGCCTGGCTGACCCCGATCCTGTCTGTGTCCCCAGCGGCCCACAGACGAGGAGGGCTTTCTGCATCCACCAGGGGAGAAGAGCAGTGAGAACTATCAGATCGTCAAGGGCGTGAGTGGCAGAGGGTCCCTGAGGATCTGGGCTCTGCAGACCTCTGTGCCCCGAGGCTTCAGCTGGTTGGCTCTTCCGCCTCCGCCCTCCTGGCCCTCCAGATAGATATCTTCCAGCTTTTCTGGCATGTTCAAAACAACCCTGCCAAGGTCCAGATGGAATTATTTTAAAGCCGAAGGAATTTAATGAAATTCCATTTCACAGTCATATTGTTCTATTTACTTTTATGGGTGGAATTGGGTTTTTTAGTGCTTCCCTGGCTTGTTGTGATGGACTGATTCAACAGCTGTGACCTCCTTCCCTCTTCCTGTCCTGGATGAGGCTGGGACTTGGTCATGGAGGGCTGGGCAGAGGGGTCCTGGGGAGGGGGCGAAGGGCTTTGGGCCCACTCGTCTCCCCCTACCCCAGATCCTGGAGAGGCTGAACAAGATGTGTGGGGTCGGGGAGCAGATGAGGAAGAAGCAGCAGCGGCTCCTCAAGAACATGGATGCCCACAAGGTCATGCTGGACCTGCTGCAGATCCCCTACGACAAGGTGACCCTGACCTCCGACCTCTGGCTCCAGGGGGCAGCTCTATCCCGATCCCTGACCCAGTCCAAGTCGTGCGCTGGTCCCTACTGCTGACCTAACTCAGCCTCACCCTGACCTTTGACTCTGTCTTGTGCCCTGACTTACCTTGACCCTGAGTCCACTCTTAGTATCCTCTCACCTTTGCCCTTCCGCCCCTAATCCTGATCCACCTTGACGTTGATTTGACGCAGCCTCATCCCACTTCTTAATCTGACCCCGATTTCCTTCCCCTCTTCTAGGCTAACCCTGATTATCACAGTTCCATCTCAACCTTTGACCTTTAGCTCCTTAACTTCACTATATTGACCCTGGTTTGACCCATCCTCTCCTTGATCTGTGATATCAGTTCTGGTCTTGTCCCAAACCCTGCTTTTGATTTCCTACCCCAGCATCATCTGAACATCTTCCCCTGACCTGTCCCCAGGCCCACTGGGCCCCTCACCCCAGTCTTAGCCTCATCCTGAGTTCTGACCCTCACCTTAGCTGCTGTTGATCTTGATAGGTTCCTAGCTCCATCCTGACTCTGAGTGTGACGCCACCCGGTTCTTCTTGAACCTGACCTCTTTGCCCTCTCCCTGCCCTCCAGCCGCACCTCCCCCTCTGCTCCTCAGCCCCTCACTCTTTTCCATCCTGGCCTCGAGGCCCAGCTCCCACTCTGGCCTCCTTGTGAGCTCCATCCCCAACCCTGTCCACACTGTGCCTGTCCAGCTTGGGCCCAGGCTCCCTTGCTCCTTGGTGGGCCCAGCACCCTCTCCCCTTCCCACGCCCAGAGCGACACCAAGATGCTGGAGATCCTGCGCTACACACACCAGTTCCTGCAGAAGTTCTGCGCGGGGAACCCCGGCAACCAGGCCCTGCTACACAAGAACCTGCACCTCTTCCTCACGCCGGGGGTGAGGGAATGGGGGGAGCAGCAGGGCAGGTGGGGCACGGTGCCCAGACCCTTTCTGACCCCTGCCCATCCTGGCACAGCTCCTGGAGGCGGAGACCATGCAGCACATCTTCCTCAACAATTACCAGCTGTGCTCCGAGATCAGCGAGCCCGTGCTGCAGCACTTCGTGCACCTGCTGGCCACCCACGGGCGCCACGTGCAGTACCTAGACTTCCTGCACACCGTCATCAAGGCCGAGGGCAAGTACGTCAAGAAGTGCCAGGACATGATCATGACCGAGGTGAGGGCGGGTGCGGGGAGGTGCCGGGAAATGGGGTGGCGGGCTGCAGAGTTGGGAGGCGCTGGAGGGAGAACTAAGGCTGCGGGTCTGGTAGAACTCAGGCGTTTGATGCACAGTGGGTACTCAACACTGAAGGCATGCAGCCTGCGGGGCTGAGTCTACACCTGGGACAGCCGTGGTCTCTGCCCTCGAGCATCTTGCAGTGTGGGACGGGGGAAAAAGGGAGTCACCGCAGCAAGAGCAGGGATGTCAGAAATGAGGCTGGGGGGCTGGAAGTGTTTGCAGTGCTAACTGCTAATTGCCATTATTATTTCACATAATTGCTGCCACAGAGGGACACAGTGTGTGCTCTGTGAGGGTTTTGATTACCCGCTGTGGGAGCCCAGGGGAGGGAGGGGTCAGCCAAGGGTGAGAGTAGAGGGGTGGTCTCTGAGACCAGCGTGGGTGGGGCATCTTTCCCACAGTGGGGAGGGGGCTTTCCGGTCCTGGTGAGTGTTTCTGATGACCGAGGGCCTGAGCTGACAGTCAGAGCTTCCAGAACGCAGGCAGGGGAGGGTTTTCCTGGTGCTGGGCAAATGCTGGGTCTGGGTCCCCGGCTCTCCCTGGAAAGCGCAGAGCGGGGCAGGGCCAGGGCCTGCTGGACTGAGGGGTCTGATGCCCACCCACCTCCCACCCACAGCTGACGAATGCAGGCGACGACGTGGTCGTGTTCTACAATGACAAGGCCTCACTGGCCCACCTGCTGGACATGATGAAGGCTGCCCGAGATGGCGTGGAGGACCACAGCCCCCTCATGTACCACATCTCCCTGGTGGACTTGCTGGCCGCCTGCGCCGAGGGCAAGAACGTCTACACTGAGATCAAGTGCACCTCCCTGCTGCCGCTGGAGGACGTGGTGTCCGTGGTGACCCATGAGGACTGCATCACCGAGGTGGGGAGGAAGGGGCGAGGTAGACAGCCACCGCGAGGCCAGGGGTGGAGCGGGCATCGCACAGGCCGGAGGACCTGGGCCCGGCCCCGCTCGCTCCTGACCCCTCCCCGCTCACTGCCCAGGTGAAGATGGCCTACGTGAACTTCGTGAACCACTGCTACGTGGACACGGAGGTGGAGATGAAGGAGATCTACACCAGCAACCACATCTGGACACTCTTTGAGAGCTTCACCCTGGACATGGCGCGGGTGTGTGGGGGCCAGGGGGCAGGGGCAGCCTCCCACCATGGAGTGGAGGGACCCCCGTGAGGACCACTGGGATCCCTCTCTCCTCCCCCAGGTCTGCAGCAAGCGTGAGAAGCGCCTGGCAGACCCCACCCTGGAGAAGTACGTGCTGACCGTGGTGCTGGATACCATCAACGCCTTCTTCAGCTCCCCGTTCTCGGAGAACAGCACCTCGCTGCAGGTGAGCCTCTTAGCGCCAGTGGACGGGGCTGTCCTGGTGTAGGGAAGTGGGGATGAGAATGGAGGGTTTGGTGCATGCCTGTAATCTGCATGACTTGGGAGGCTGAGGCAGGAGGATCCTGAGTTCAAAGCCAGCCTCAGCAACTTAGTGAGGCCTTAGGTAACTCAGGGAGACCCTGTCTCCAAATAAAATATAAAATACGGCTGGGGATGTGGCTCAGTGGTTCAGTGCCCTTGGATTCAATCCCCAGTACAAAAAAAAAAAAGAAAGAAAAAAAAAAAAGAAAGTGTGCCTTCTAAAGACCTTTAGCTTTTAAACTATGTAAATACATCATTTTTCCCCTTTAACTTTTTAAAATTTTTTTTGTGGGGGGCTGGGGTTATAGCTCAGTAGTACAGTGCTTGTCTAACATGTGCAAAGCCCTGAGTTCAGTCCTCAGAATCACCAAAAAACAAATTAGTAAAAAATGAGTAAAAAAAAAAAAAAAAAGGAAATTAGTTAAAAAAAGGAACAAAAGAGTAAGTGATACGACTGTGATCCCAGATTTGGACCTTATGGAGTAACTCAGCTGCTGTGTATGTTGGCCAGGTTGTGCACTGCTGAAGGGATTGGGGATGACTCTGTTTGGTATAGAAGTAGGTGGTGGCTAATGAAGGCCCTGTCCTTGGACCCTGGCCACTGGACCCGGGCTTTCCCAGGGGAGGGTGGCTGAGCGGGGGGTCGTGTGGCCTCTTGCAGACACACCAGACGATCGTGGTACAGCTGCTGCAGTCCACCACGCGGCTGCTCGAGTGTCCATGGCTGCAGCAGCAGCACAAGGGCTCCGTGGAGGCCTGCATCCGCACCCTCGCCATGGTGGGTGAGTGTGCCAGGCGCGGGCCAGCTCCAGGCCACTGCTCCCTCCTTTTACATAGGGGCACCTGCCTCACAGCACCTCACCCTAACCTCTCCCATCACCTGCTCCCAGGTGATTCTGTAAGTTCTTCTGGGTGTCTACCTGGCATCCCAGCAATTAAGAGAAGCTGTTTTCTCCTTGAGTCAGCTCCCCAGAGGAACAGCGCAGTAACATTCCCCAACTCGAGTTGTGTGTGTGCACATGTGCAAACAATCTCAGGCAGAGGGAGCCAGTCTGTGGTTAGGAATAGGTGGAGAAGAGGCAGTAGTGGGCAGAATCAGAGACACTCCGGTGGGAGCCAGGGCGGGATCCTCGCACCTTGGTCTGGTTTGTCCTGTCCCACCATGTGGCAGCCTCTGGCAGCCCGAGCCTGGCCTCCAGCCCCTCCCCTCCCTCAGCTAAGGGCCGGGCCATCTTGCTGCCCATGGACCTGGACGCCCACATCAGCTCCCTGCTCAGCAGCGGAGCCAGCTGTGCCGCCGCCGCCCAGCGGAACGCCTCCAACTACAAGTCGGCCACTCGGGCCTTCCCTCGGGTCACCCCCACCGCCAACCAGTGGGACTACAAGAACATCATCGAGAAGCTGCAGGTGGGAGTGGGTGCCTGGCCTTCTATGAAGGGCCGCATCCTGTGGCCAGGGACTGAGGTGTCAGCAGAGCCCAGAGACGAGTGGGTGGGGCCAGAGCTCCTGGAGGGTCGGGACCACCTCTTGACAGCACCTTCCTGTGTGTCCACAGTTCTCTCTTATTGTCTTCGGAGGGAGCACGGGGAGTGGGGTGGGGGGGCTATTGTTTCCACATGGAGGGAGACTGAGGCTCAGAGAGGGCAAGGAGTTGATGCAAGGCCACACAGAACTAGAAGGAGATAAGCCGGGTCTTGGGGATCTCAGCCAGGCGCTCAGGGAATCTGGGGGTGCAGGGCCCTCCGACAGGCGCAGGTCCATCTGCAGGGCTGTTTGGTGTTTGGGTGGGGGAGTGGTGGTCAGGCCCTGACCCTCTCTTGGGCGACGGTGACTCAGCCTGGCTCTTCCAGGACATCATCACGGCCCTGGAGGAGAGGCTGAAGCCGCTGGTGCAGGCAGAGCTGTCTGTGCTGGTCGACGTCCTACACTGGCCGGAGCTGCTCTTCCTGGAGGGCAGCGAGGCCTATCAGCGCTGTGAGAGCGGGGGCTTCCTGTCCAAGTGAGTGGGACTCTGGGACACCGTGGCATGGTGGCCTGGGCCAGGGGAGGGTCTGGTGGGGACCGGATGGGCCCTGGTTGGGGAGGTGGCTGGAGGGAAGGAGGCCCCCTGAGCCGCCCTCACTGGTCCAGGCTGATCCAGCACACGAAGGACCTCATGGAGCCCGAGGAGAAGCTGTGCATCAAGGTGCTTCGGACCCTGCAGCAGATGCTGCTCAAGAAGAGCAAGTATGGGGACCGGGTGAGTGCCGGGCTGGGGCACACCAGGGGGGCTGGACACCGGCAGGCCAGGCCCAGGGTGCAGGGGTGCGGGAGGACCCTCGGGCAACCTCACTCCCGTCCTCCCCCAGGGCAACCAGCTACGCAAGATGCTGCTACAAAACTACCTCCAGAACCGGAAGTCCAGCTCTCGGGGGGACCTTCCGGACCCCATGGGCACTGGTCAGTGCTGCCTTCTCCTCCTGTGTCTCTGGGTGGCCTGTTCTCCCAGTCCTGGGCCCCCCCCCCATCCCTGCCCACCAGCTTTCCTTCAAGTGAGTCCCCACCCCAGGCCTGGACCAAGACTGGTCAGCAATCGCTGCCACCCAGTGCCGGCTGGACAAGGAGGGGGCCACCAAGCTAGTGTGTGACCTCATCACCAGCACCAAGAATGAGAAGATCTTCCAGGAGAGCATTGGTCTGGCCATCCGCCTGCTGGATGGGGGCAACACCGAGATCCAGGTGTGCAGTGGGCGGGGACCGCACCTCTACCTCCTCTGGGTGGCACGTGCTGTTGGGGAGGCGGGTCACTGAGGCTTGGGGACTTGGCTGCAGGACTGGGTGCTGGTGGCCACCCAGGATGTCTCCACCTCCCCCATGTGCACCCCTTTCTTCCTGAACCAGGCCTGAGCACTCTCCTCACTGCCCACCCCCACGGTGTCCCCCCATCCTGGCCTCTCAGCCTCTCCTAGGCCTCCTTGCCTCCCTCCTCTCCCACAGCCTCCAGGTCTGGCTCCTCCACAGGCCCTCTCCACTTAGCCTCACCATCCAAACACTCACCATTTGATAAATCACTGGTGAGCGCCATCTATGTGCCTGGCAGTGGTCTAGAACCGAGGGTTTATCAGCAAAGAGACAAAATCTGCATTCTCTTGGTGCTCACGTCCTAAAGAGGACACGGGTGATGAGTTAACTGCATGCAGGATAGAGGGCGTGGCTCAGGCCAGGGGCTCTGGGGTGCAGGCATGGGGTTGTGTTAAAGGGAGTGGCAGGCCAGGCCCCAGAGGGCACGGGAATGGGACCTAAGGTGAGCATGTGCACACCTGGGGAGACTCTGGGTGGAGGAGCACCTGTGCAAGGGTGGAAGAGGAGGAGGAGGGTGGGGCCATTACATGGAGAGGCCATGACTTTTCTTAGGGGGACATGGAGCCTCTGCTGGGTTTCAAGCACAGCAGGAACTTTACTTAGACTTCAAAGGGGAGCCCTCTGGCTGGCTGGTGTGGGGGGTGGGAAACGCAGGAGCACAGGCACTGCAGGACTGAGGAGGGGGTGTAGGCCTCCAGCAGAGCAGCCATCGGGCCCTTCCCTGTCCCCCCTGATGCCCCTACCTGCTCTGCGGGCCTCAGTCCCAGGGCAGGAGCGTCTCTGCTTCCCCCGCTTCAGTGTGCTGGAACTGGGCCTGGCTCTCAGTGGCCCTGGGTCTGGCCTCTGAGAGCCAGGCCTAGTGCTGAGGCTGCTCCCCTCCACTGTCCACCTCCAGAAGTCCTTCTACAACCTGATGACAAGCGACAAGAAATCAGAGCGCTTCTTTAAGGTCCTGCATGACCGCATGAAGCGGGCCCAGCAGGAGACCAAATCCACAGTAGCCGTCAACATGAATGACCTGGGCAGCCAGTCCCGTGAGGACCGTGAGCCGACAGACCCCACTGCCAAAGGTCAGGGGTGCAAAGCAGGGGCACAGGGTGCATGGTGGCGGGGGGCTCAGGCAAGGGACAGAGGTGAGGGTGAGGGGTTGGCAGCTCCCAGAGGCCCAGCCCCACCTGGTCTCCCCTGCAGGCCGCGTGGCCTCCTTCTCCATGCCTGGCTCCTCGTACCGCTATTCCCTGGGCCCCAGCATGGGCCGGGGGCATGAGGCGGGTGAGCGCGTGCAGAGCAGCGAGATGGGCCTGTCTGTGCTCATCATGCAGCCCATCCTGCGCTTTCTGCAGCTGCTGTGCGAGAACCACAACCGCGACCTGCAGGTGAGCGCCTGACCTGCACCTGCCCCGGTCCTCTGTCCAGCCAGCCTTTGGGCCCTGCCTGCTCCCTGGCCGTGCCCTGTGGCTGGTGCCCATCATCTGGCTGGCCACCCTGCTCTGTGCTGGCAATTCCCCTGCCCCTGCGGCACATGGGACCATGGTCCTCAGATGGGCTTCCCCCAGCAGCTGGAGCCCTGCTGTGCCCATCTGTGTTCTGCAGAATTTCCTGCGCTGTCAGAACAATAAGACCAACTACAACCTGGTGTGCGAGACGCTGCAGTTCCTGGACATCATGTGTGGCAGCACCACTGGGGGCCTGGGGCTGCTGGGGCTCTACATCAATGAGGACAATGTGGGCCTTGTCATCCAGACCTTGGAGACCCTTACTGAGTACTGCCAGGGCCCCTGCCACGAGAACCAAGTGAGCTGCCTGGCCGGGTGGGCGGCAGTTGGGGTGGCAGGTGAACGTGTAGGTGGGCGGAGCCGGTGGGGTAGGGAAAGAGGCTGAGGCCGCTGAAGCCACCACAGTTCCTAGGGGTCTGGACCCTGTGTCTCCCACTGCTTCCTTTAGACCTGCATCGTGACGCATGAGTCCAATGGCATAGACATCATCACAGCACTGATTCTCAATGACATCAGCCCCCTGTGCAAGTACCGGATGGATCTGGTGCTGCAACTCAAGGTGAGGCCCTTGGCAGGCTCACATGAGCATGCCTAGGTGGATGCCTGTGCACATGTGTGTGGGGCTTAGCATTGAGTGTGCATAGTGGAGTGGAGTGGGGGCATTGTGTGTGTGTGTGTGAGCGTGTCATGATGTGCACACACATGCCTATAATATGTGCATGTTTACATTCCTCAAGAGTACACGTGAGCAAACATGCTGGGTTCACACTTAAGAGGCAAGCGCATTCTTGGTTCACCCAAGGACTTCCTATGTGCTGGCTGTTTGGGGGTTGGTGTGCATTTTTCACAGGGTGGGGTGAGTACAGGCCTGGGTGGGGGATTGGAAGGGCATGGCACATCTTGGGGATTGGCTAGTGTAAGGAAAGGTTTTGGGGGTGTGGAGGGTGCTCTCAGACTGGGGCCTGCTTCCCTGGCCTTTCCCACCCAGGACAATGCGTCCAAGCTGCTCCTGGCTCTGATGGAGAGCCGCCATGACAGTGAAAATGCTGAGCGCATCCTCATCAGCCTGCGGCCCCAGGAGCTGGTGAGGGGGGCAGGTGGGATGACAGCCCTGGGCAGGGTGTGCTGGGCAGGAGGAGGGCCTTCAAGCAGGTGCTGCCCCTCCAGGTGGACGTCATCAAGAAGGCCTACCTACAGGAAGAGGAGCGGGAGAATTCGGAGGTGAGCCCACGTGAAGTGGGCCACAACATCTACATCCTGGCCCTACAGGTACTGACTCCACCTGGCCCCACCCCTGCGGCCATGCCCCCATAGACCCTGCCAATAACCATACTGCCCTCTGCTTAGCTTTCCAGGCACAACAAACAGCTGCAGCATCTGCTGAGACCCGTGAGGCGCATCCAAGAGGAGGAGGCTGAGGGCATCTCTTCAATGGTGGGTGTACTGGGAAAGTAGGGGTGGGTAGGCTGAGGCCTAGGAACTGGGACTCAGGCCTAGCAGGTTGGCCTGGCGGGAGATTGGATGGCCTCTATCTGGAGGCCTGGTTGTGGTGAGGGCAGAAGTGGGAATTTGGGAAGAGCAAGGTATAGGGCCTGGAACCAAGAGGAGAGGCTTGGTACTAGGGAGGAGCTTGGAGCCGAGTTGGGCTACAACTTGGGGTCAAGGCTTGGGATGGGAGTTGGCCAGATAAAACGTGGATTTAAAAGTAGAAGCAAGCTGACATCATGGAGCACCAGTGTAATCCAGTGACTTGGAAGGCTGAGGCAGGAGGATTGCAAGATCAAGGCCAGCCTCAGAAATTTATAAATAAAAAATAGAAATGTCTGGAGATGTAGCTCAGTGGAATAGCACCCCTGGGTTCAATCCCAGAGCTAGAAAAAAAAATTTGCACGCAATACCAGGGTGGATCTGAGGTGGGTCTGGTCACACCTGGACATGACTGAAGGTGCCCATTGTCCTGTAGGAGTCTCTGGCTGTGGTTCTTTTACCTCTAGATGCTCTGAGCTGGATCCTAGTTGGGAAGGCCTGGTCTGGGCTGCTGCAGGGGCAGGGGGCATTCCTTGGGGTTTAGTTGGAACTGGGACTCAGGCCTAGCAGGTTGGAGTCGGTGCCAGGCCTGGCTGTGGGAGCTTTGGGGCCTGACCAGGGCACCCTCCCTGACCTCAGCTCAGCCTCAACAACAAGCAGCTGTCACAGATGCTCAAGTCCTCAGCGCCTGCTCAGGAGGAGGAGGAGGACCCCCTGGCCTATTATGAGAACCATACCTCACAGATTGAGGTGAGCCCAGAGGGCACTGGGGCTGGGCTGAGGGAGGGCCTCGCCCAGGTGTGACTCGGGGTCTGTGTGCACCCAGATTGTGAGGCAGGACCGCAGCATGGAGCAGATCGTGTTCCCAGTGCCCGGCATCTGCCAGTTCCTGACGGAGGAGACCAAGCATCGGCTCTTTACCACCACGGAGCAGGACGAGCAGGGCAGCAAAGTGAGCGACTTCTTCGACCAGTCCTCCTTCCTGCACAACGAGATGGAGTGGCAGCGCAAGCTCCGCAGTAAGGACCTGGTGGGGCAGAGCAAGGCAGGCGGCCCCCGCGCCCCTGGCTGAGGCTCCCTAGGCCCCCCTGGCACCCCACCCCCACCCTGGAGAGGGGCTCTTCCAATCACAGCTCTCTCCAGAGTGTGGCCTGGAGCTTGGAGGGCTCCACGTGGAACGGGGTGGGCAGGTGTCAGTGAGAGACCCCCTTCCACCAGCGTGCTGCACCCTCCCCAGGCATGCCGCTGATCTACTGGTTCTCCCGCCGCATGACCCTGTGGGGCAGCATTTCCTTCAACCTGGCGGTGTTCATCAACATCATCATCGCCTTCTTCTACCCTTATGTGGAGGGGGCATCCACAGGTGAGGACCAGGGGTCAGTCAGCAGGGCCTGGGAGTCCACCGTGGCCCTCCTCGGGCTAGACCAAAGCCTCAGGGCCAGCCAGGCTCTGAGGGGACCAGGTGCAGACCGGGAGGAAACGCCCTGCACTGCCCTCTGGGCTTGTGGGCCATCCTGGGGAGTCAGGTGTGGCCCCAGGGACAGGCAACATCTTTGGTCTCCTGGGAGGTGGCACATGGACATGCAGGCATACACACAACCATGTGAGCCAGAGCCTGATGTGGAGGCTGCAGCTGGATAGGGCACCTCCCCTGGGCCCAGAGATGCAGGAGTAAAGGAGGCTAAAACAAGGCAATGGGAACTTAAAAGGAAAGGCTTTCAGAACCGGGACAGCCTTGGGTTCCTGGGACCTGCGTTGGGCCGGGGTGGGCTGCGCGAGCCCTGTTCACCCCTGCTGCGCCCCCAGGTGTGCTGGGTTCCCCGCTCATCTCGCTGCTCTTCTGGATCCTCATCTGCTTCTCCATCGCGGCTCTGTTCACCAAGCGCTACAGCATCCGTCCCCTGATTGTGGCGCTCATCCTGCGCTCCATCTACTATCTGGGCATTGGGCCCACGCTCAACATCCTGGGTGCCCTCAACGTGAGTGCACGAGGGAGCCCCTCCCTGATTCAGACCCGGGGCTGGCCTGCTGTTCCCAGGCCTGCTCTGCTCCACACCCCTTCTCTGTTGGAGTCCCAGGCTCACTGCAGACCAGTGGTTGGGTCCGTTCTGTACCTTTTCTCTCTCCCTCAGCAGCTGGGGGAATCTGGTACTCAGAGACAGACAGACAGACAGGAAGCACTTTGGATCAGTGGCTTCAGGGCTGTCATGCATTGTGCTGGCTCTGCACAGCCCAAAGCCACTGCTCACAGATAGCCATCAAAATTTATATATTATGTCAATTTCCTGACATAAATAAATAAATAAAGTGTCTTAAGCAAGGCACTAACCCAGTCCCTGTAAAGGCCAGGGAGATCTTCTCTGCCCCTATCCTCCTTTACCTGAACCTCAGTTTCTTCCTGGAGCTGGAGCACCCAGGGGCTTGTCTTCTGCTCTGAGTCCCAGGATCCCATCATTTTTGGAAACAGTTCCATTAATGCCACGCCTCCCATGCTGAGCAGGGTCAGCTCCTGTTCACCATGCTGGAGGCCCAGCCTTTGAGCATGGGGTGAGCTGGAGGCAGGGGTAGAGAGTTCAGGTAGGTGGTGGGCACTGATCTTCGTCCCCTGCACTTGTCCCCAGCTGACCAACAAGATCGTGTTTGTGGTGAGCTTCGTGGGCAACCGTGGCACCTTCATCCGGGGCTATAAGGCCATGGTCATGGACATGGAGTTCCTCTACCACGTGGGCTACATCCTGACTAGTGTCCTTGGCCTCTTTGCCCATGAGCTCTTCTATAGCATACTGGTGAGCCTGCTGGGTGGGCGGGCGCTGGACAGCAGTGGGGAGCAGTTGAGGGGCTTCTCATGAGCTGCTAGGGGGGTCCCCAGCACTC